GAGTTTTGGAGCTCAGGAACCCCGTACACAATTATCGTCCGTTTCGCCTCGGCTTTACGAACTTCCTCACGGTTGCTCATCTTTTTCGGACGTTCGTTCCAGGGGATATCAGGAAGTATGCGCGCCTCGAGTGATGAATGACGAAGCCTGTTGGACGATAGTAGAACTGCCTTTGTGTCCTTGGTGGAGTTTAGTGTCACCCGGAGAAGTCGGGGTTCACCGTAGTGCGCTGAATTTGGATGACATGTGACTCGTCTCAGCATTGCAGGTACAACCGAAATGCCAATCGCAGTACATATAGAATTCCACTGATTACGATCATCCAACAGCTTCCCCTTTATTGTACTCGCCTGTGATTCAGGAACATTTGTACACCCAACGGTTAACGCGCCTTGGCTCCTTGCGTTGGATGCAGATTTGCCATGACTTACAGACACGGTGTTGAACGGATTGTTTGGTTGTTGGAGTCTGGTCAACTTACTGTTGCTTGGTGAGGCCACCGGAGTCGGAGGTAATTTAGCCGGTGTATGCATGGAGGCGACTGAGGCGTACGACGCCCGACTTTTCTGCGTAGCTCAACGGGTTACCGACGTACGCTAATCATTGCACTACGCTAAGCTCAAGTCTCGTCACGATGGATTTGAAGTCGTGGACCAAGGAAATCCGTGAGAAAGACGTCTTGTTGGTGCCATTTTATGCTGGTGATATCGCTAGCAACTAGATTCAATAAATCTGGGTCCTACAATGGAACCGCTTTACCCATCCTATTTCTTAATGCATGTTTGTGTAGCATAAAAGCACCAGTACAAAGTACTGATGCATTATTATCGGTGATAACGATGGGAGAATATGTAACGTTTACCAGCAATTGTGACAAAAACGATTTTATTTATGGTTGAAACAGTGGAAACCACACAAAAGATTCACTCGTGCACTTTGATTGGCCGTGTCAGATCACCGATGGTTACGGTGTATTGCTCACATCTGGTGTAAACACGAGGTGAGCAATGCTCAGGTCCGCGAGTTGGTTTTTGGGAAGAAGCTTTTTGGTGACTCACACGGGTATCTTCCAAAAGTTAACCGCTTACGCTGTCTAGCTCATGGCCTCTGTATGTTTGTTGACTGATTGTTTCGGCGTGCATTACGCATCATGACTGCATCAAGTTGGGCGAAACCGTAGAGGTAGCCAGTCCATGCCTTGAAATAAACGCATGAAGAAACTGACCAAGAGACTTGGTCAGGCTCGTGCATATTGTTTTAGTGGGTGGGTGGGGGCCCCGAGAAGGTCCATATCAGTGGTTGGAGACCCCATCAAATGTGGCGCAGTCGGTGAAGTTCTTGCATTCGGTTACTTGCGTTTAGCTGTCAATCTTTACCCATACTGACTTCCTTAACGCACCTCTTCTTGATTCCATTTTCTTCGCATTGTGTTTGTATTCAACTTAATTTTCTTACCGTTGTTATTTAGTGTTATTCCGTGACGTGAGTCAGGGCAACTGGATCCGCCGCATTTTAGTGCCCGGATCATAGTTGATCAAATGAACTGTGCAGTTTGTCGCTGTAGGTTCGGCTGTAATACTCACACGGAAAATGCTTAAAAGGAACCAGGCAAAGGAATACACAAGATTAGAAACAGTATCCAGTGCTCTGGCTTGCATGCAAGCTGCTTGATATTACCCGTACGATCGCTTGCGAAGATGCGGAGAATTAGTCGTTTTTCAAGCACCTTCAAAAGTACGGAGGTGCATGGTATTAGAAAATACTTCCATGATTCTTTCTTAAGCAGTGATGTTATTATGGCTGCTTTCCATATGTCGGAGAAGGTACCAATTGTTAAACATCAGTTGAAAATCTCTATCAGATGTGACTGTAAGGCATCCGCACACACTTTCAGAGCGATTGGTGTTAGGCCAACAGGACCACTAGCCTTGTTTGGCTTTAGTATTGTGAATTCCCCCAAAACAATGATGTGATTAAATTAGGCGGGATCAGTGAAGGAACGACGAACATGTTCGATGATGAGGAGTTAAACTCTGCATTGAGTTTGTGCACATCCACAGTACCGAGTGGGCTAATGAAATGTTTCCCGATACGTTGCTTTAAGAGTCTCCATACGCCAAGGAAACTGTGCTTCCTAAAACAGCTTCAATGTATAGACTGTTCAGCCTTTTTATCTCGGCTTTTATAGCCACACAGATATTTGACACGAGCCGTTGGCCTATATTTGTAAGCCTGTTATTTTCTCTACGCAGTTTTTGGAGTAGTGGAGGTAAAAACATCAATCCCACGATTGGAACAGAAATTACTATAGTTTGTGAGATGTTCGCTTTGAGCTGACAAGTCATCATCGGCGAAAATTGAGAAGTCGGTTGAATAGAGCATCGATTAAAGCTTTGTAATGTTTTCTGTTGAACCGTTTAGCCGTTTAACGGTTCTGAATGGCCTCCTTGTCATCACAAAGTAGTTGGCCTTACACTGTCTTAACTGCCCGACACAGTGGTCCGAATTTGTGTGGAGAACAGGTTATGTTTGTAAATAAAAACTAAGTCCGAATGTGCGTCGAGTCTGGTGGGGAATTCCACCAAGTTAGCTAGAACCAGCATGTTAATAAAGATTGTGTCAATCCTACTGAGGTCGCCAACGATGATGCACATTGAACTTTGGTTGCAATTCCGAGACAAGGCGATCTGCAAATATTTTCATTTCTGACAGTGCTTAGGTAGGCGCCACATAAACGTTTTCAACTACAACAGATAGAAAACCAATAAGAAAATTTGGTGTACATTCCAACAGATGATAGCCTATTGAGAACGATGTACACCAGTCTTTGCTAACGTAGGTGATCACAGCTTCCACGCGGTGCTTGGGCATTGCTGGGAGGTCGGATCTAATGTGTCGATAGCCAGGGAGTTCCACGACTCCATCTTCAATGTCGAGATGCAACCAACTTTCATGTGTCTCAGAATTCTCTTCGTTGTAATAGGCACTTGAGATCAACAATTTTCTCGAGAATCGATCGGACGTAAATGGACAGGATAACGGGAATTTGTGCGTTGTTAGCAGGATAGCTTCTGGGTACAAGTTGTCAGCCAACATGGTGCTTTTTATTTTTCATAAATTTTTCTTGACAATCCTTTTGAAGTGTTTTGAATTTGTGGCCATACGCGAGTAGTGAGTTTCGGACAAGTTCATAAAGCCAAATCAAATGAAGAGCAGAGTAAATTAAAGTTGCTGATATTCAACTGACTTTTGAAACTAAATGATGAAACAAATCACAGAAACAGGAGAAAAAATATCCGCAGTGAGTACGGCAGAACAATATCCTAATGACAACAGCGACGGCCGAATTTGTGGGTTCCGCCATGGTTTGAGGGTTTTTCAACCATAACGTTATTAATGCGCTTTATGAACTGCATCGGATAACTGTTCGATTGCAAAGCCACGATCAGTAAATTTTTCTCTGCTTTTAAAGTTTCTGAGGTGCAAATCATGTGGGCTCGATGAAACAGCGTCCGGACGAGTGAACGTTTGTGTTGTATTGGGAAGAAACTTCTAAAGTGCAAATACTGACCCGTCCATGTTGCTTTTTGGTAAACTGACACGACCGAACTATCCAATCGCTGTATGATCAGTATGCCTAGGTGGGGAAGGCAATTATTTTGCTCTATCGCATAGTTACTGTAGGGATCGACTGCATACTGTTGAATGCCTCTGTCGCAAGTATGAGGTCTTCGTCCTAATCCATACTAAGCAGTATATCATCCACATAGTGCTTGTATAGAGCAGCCGATTTTATGATGTCATCTACCTTCTCTTCGCCTATGTCCATGAACACATCCGCCAACAAAGGGTCTAGTGACCTGTCTATCGCAACACCGTCTATCTGAATATGTTTGAACTTGTCAGAAATTTCACGATAATTATTCAAACACTTTCGAACTGATGCCTTACTTAGAATGCGGAAAGTTGACCAAAAAGCGAATGTGTTCGCTTGATGTACAGTCCCTCTTCACCAACATCCCCTTGAACGAAACTGACGAGTATCTCTCTGAGTTCATCCCTAAACAGAATATCCAACTACAGATCCCCGCGGGATTGCTGTAGCACACGTTCCTTTGGTGTACGGAAAACATCAAGTTTTATTTTCAAGAGAAGACATATCGATGGGCCGAATTTGAAGATCCGTCGGAGGTAAGAGTGGTAGTGAAGCAGCGATCTGGTTCATACGGCAATTGCTTCAAACAGCGAAGCATTTTCACTTCGAAATAGGCGGTGAGCTGGACCAACAAGGAAACGGCAACGCTAACGGTGAATGCTTCATCAGTATCAGGCAAGGGTCAAACGAAGTATTAGCAAGTAGGGAGCAAATAATCCACTACCCACATTCCATGTTACGTCCGCCAACCCGTTCCGCGTCGTCTGATGAGTAGCTATTGAGGAGCACTGCATAGATGATATTAACTTACTGGGAGGTGACTAAGAACACTGTCCCATACTATGCAACTGCACCTGCTGAGCAGTAAAAGTTTGGTGGCAGTTAACTGGATCAGCCGACTAGAGAATTGCGAGTGGATGAAGGAACACCTGGTGGTTTGTAGTTCTTGTACACAATTACGGATGCACTCTCAAATGCAATTAGTGTTTTGGAAATGATCAGATCCAGACGCAGACAGTCGATGAACCAACTTCCAAAATGGTTCAATATGCTAATGTTACATAAAGTGGAAAACGGACACGAAAAGTGGTCACGCAGCTGAAGGCATAAAAGGATAGATAACGGTGCGGATTCAGTGAGAGAATCAACCGATCTAACGTAAAAGTAGGCGACACGGCTCTACAGATTCAAATCTGATGGTTGCTTTAATTAAGGGATGGAGCACTCGGCTAACTTGCGCACGTGTGAAATGTCACAGACAGAAAAGCAGACTTAACCAGAATGCTCCCTTAAAATTTAACTTTACATTGTGCTAAAGCAAAGAGGAATAAAATGAAATGTTTACCTGCAGCAGACGTGTTAATTTACTTTCTCTATACGGCACATGAGGCGTGTGGTCCACTAACGCTGTTATCACACGCCCGAGAGTTAGAAGGCTTTGATTGATGGAACCAGCCTCTCGCGCACGTTTGTCGATAGCTCCTGATCTGCCAATGCTTTCGCTACCGGCAAGATCGACGAGGTGTAACTTTCCGATGCGAAGTAATTCCTCTCCAGAGATAGGATTTGTTTCCTTGATGTGCACTGTTACGGTGAATATAGAGTGAGAACGGCTGCAAACAAGATAACGGGAGAACAATGATGAAACCTTGACTGCGCATTCAAAAGTGTGGAAGCCGTTTGTCGCCTCGCCAGACCTCGCTCGATCACGGAATGCACATTGTCCTTATCCAAAACAACAACTTCACGAAGACCTTTCACGATAACGGAACCTTTGCGATTGACATCGTCATAAATCGTTAGACGATTTGTTTCCGTTAGTGAAAGCAAGTCAAAAAGTTCCTCGTTGTAAACTTCCAAAAAAGAAACACGTACAGAAAAGTCAGAGCCCTGGAAAAATGCAGTTAAGAACAAGAAGTCCTAACATTCTGTTCAAGGTTGTGAAACAAATGGCTCAATGCCCTGGGAATTATCCCAACTAATGGATCATCCTCCCACGCGTATCTCAGCTTATCAGACCGCTCCCCGGTCATTGTGAATGTCTTGCCGCTTCCGGTTTGCCCATATCTAGAAATATGAAGAGGTAAGTAAAGTTGACTTACGCGAAAATGGTGCAATTATACCCCATAAGTATTTCCTCGACTACCGGAGCAACCATTGCGTTATAAACATCAATTTGTTTAGAAAATGCATTAAAAACTTGATCGAATGTGAACACCTTGGATGTATTACGATCTCTCACGGTCACCTTGTCGCGAGCACAGTGAACGCAGCTCAAAGCGCCTCGTTCCAATTCGTACTTATTAAGCGGTCTTTAAAGCATTAGCAAAAGTGAGAAAACTCACCGGCACCTCACCGCCACGCGTATGTTTTGTTGTGCGTGCTCGCCCGGCATCGCAAACAGCACAGAGTTATGAGATGATAAGGTTGTCAACTAGCGATTTCACAAGATGGTGAAAAAACTGTGAAAAGAGAAAACAGGGAACAACCCATTGAAAAGAAACAGATAAGGATGTGCAAACACATGACAGAACATTCCATTAATGAAGCGAATACGAGTGCGTGTAAACAAGTGACAGGTTATATGAGTCGACTTACACTTGACTGACTTAGACAGTCGACATGAGCTGCAACATATCCAGGCATGTGGAAGGATGGTCACTCAGAATTATTTGTTGGGGAATGTCAACACCATGATGATGAACTTACTAATGAGGAACGATAGAATAGAAGAGGGATCTAGTGGACTTTGAAGCCCAAAATAAACACTTAAGACCAAAACTCAACAGTGCCATCACCACAAACACACAAACAGCTAGTTAAGGTTCGGAGGTAAGCCGGCGTCAGTGATATAACCAACTTAAGCCTTTCAGTGCTCTGCATCAAAAGCAACAATGATTCAAACGTTTAGCCTGCAACCCTCAATCTCCAGCTATAAGTCAATGCTCCTGGATGCGGCCAATCGTCCCTGTAGAATTGCGGCTTATGAACACTTTTTGGCAGTGGCCCGGAAGCGAAACAGTAAAATAAAGTATTTGCATACTACTGAGCCATATTTCTTAAGTGACGGAGGAGTCAAGAGAAGCATCTTCTATGGAGGCAACGGTGAATAAGACATGTCTGTTCCACAGCGATATGAATAAGCGGTCATGAATAGTCATTCGCATACTTGGAGGGTGAAGAGGAGGCCTGGGCTAATGGAGTGGCTCGAGTATTTGGCATTTAATATACGAATCAGCGGTTGGAACCCGTGTGTATTTGTGGTGACTTCGTAGTAGCCCAATGAGGCACCAGTGGAAGAACTACAGTACTGCTGATATACTTAACTTCTCTTAACTGGGTTTGTTATCTGGCTCCTCAGCAAATAAAATAAAAGATCACACATAGCCAGAGCAACCAAATGCTTATTTCTGATATGGGGCGAGTATAATATGGAGAGCGGATGCATGCAGTCGGATCTACGAACTCACACCAATAGTAAGAAGGTGAGCAGAAAGAGGGTTTTTCGTAGCAGAAACCTGCGCCGTTTGTGCGGAGCCTTAGGAGTGGGCCAATACGGTGTGTCTGTCCATGCATCGCTACTAAACGATCACTACCGTCCGCATGCAAGCCAGGGATACGATTAGGTCATCTGCATTTATGCAAACTTGAACCGGCGACCTGTGGATTACAAGTCAGACTTCTTATCAATTGGGTCCCAGTCAGAGTTAATTTAACGCAGCAAAAATGTGATAATACGCACAGCTGTTGAAACCAATCAGGACACAGAAAGTGCTCAACCAAGAAAGCCAAAGGGAAGTGACAAAGTTGAGCGTCAATTAGATGCAACAAAAGAAGGGTGAGAGATAGGGGAAATGGTGATTCAATGACAAAAAACAATGACTCCTAAATACCAACGAGGCTACAAAAGCGATGCGCTAAAACAAATGTGATGGAACAGCGAGACAATGAAGTTTGCAGCTACGTACCAGTACATGAAGAGCTCATGAATTTACCGTTTCCTTACACTCCCATGTTGAAAGTAAATTAGCCTGAATCCGTATAGCTTTTCCGAAAGGTCCACCCGAAAAAACAGCATGAAATCTCCTTTTGTCATTGTTTGTACCTCAGTACCGAGACACCGTAAAAGCCTAACGCCTTGCTTAGCTCACAAGTGTCTAAAGAGTTCATCAAGATCAAATATTTAGTGATCAGCTATCAAGTTGACCCTTGAGTAGGGTATCAGCACAGGTGTTTCTCACCTCCAACTAAAGTGTTGAGTGATGAGGTTGAGCGTCATTTGAGTCACATGAGCGATACAGAGTTGTGCGTCAGCATAGTTGACAAAAGTCACATTACCATGAAGTAGCACGGCGATGATGGATTTAAAAGTACATCATCCCGGACGCCGCGGGTTTTTGAACTACCATGTGTTGGATTCTATGTTGCTTCGGGATTACTGTTATACGTGGTTTTTTTGTGTGAGCGGTGCACGAATATCTTTATTTTTGTGCCTGTTTCAATCTGTGCAAATTTGGTGGATATTCACTGGCTAATTTCGAAGATCTTATTGATTGGTCCAACTACAGTCTCAAGCTACTTGTGGTTCGTGTTCGGAAGTTCTTGGGCATAAGGCTCATGCCCTTCGGTGCTTCGGCTGCGATGTTGTACTCCATATTTCGTGCACTGGCTTATCTGTAGACGTTTCTCGAAGGTCTCTCGACATTCAACATCGGTTTTTCCAGGTTATAGGTGACAAATGTTGCAGTGCAAGACATCAAAATACACAGCGACAGCCAACGAGTACAGGGAAACCTCTCTTACAGGCGGAAACACACCGTTCACCTCGTGGTGTCAAAAGCCCCCATGATAGTACCTCTGTCAACTCGCCTTTTCCTGCCACTCCGCGAACTGCACCACCACCAGTATCTTCGACCCCGACCTAGTCTCAGGTTCGATGTTCCCCATGAATAGAAGACTCAAACACGGAACCTTAGAAATGCCGCTTCACTGATCGGGCCGTGAATTGCTCAGAGCCTGTCTGTGAAGCTCTGAACACCGAGGATTCATGGATTACTCAAAAGCGCAAAGGCCACGTGACCGAGTGCAGGCGCCCCCTGTGGGTAAACAACAACAATCCAAACCGATAAGCGCCTCTAGTCCTGCTCCCACAAGTTCCTCATCTATTTCGCTGAGGCATGATAATCTTATGATCTTCCACGCACCAGAGTCAAAAGATGAAAAACCTCAGACAGGTTATGATCATGATGCTGACTACCCCCAGGAGCTCATCGATAGACTCTTGGATGTGGGTGAAGGCAGCGTGACGACTAAATAAGTAGTCCGATTTGGCCAGCAAACTAACCAGTCAAGTCAACCTCTGAGAATCACTTTAGAAAATCACAACGTGCAGCAGCTCACACACAGCTAGTCCATCAAAGCTGAAAGGCATAAAGATTCACCTCCGCGGAGAGGATAGGGATCGTTTGAAAACTGCGGTCCTTGAGCTCAAACACCGTACAGAAGAAGGGGAGACTGACTTACACATTGTAAATTTCCGAGTGATCAATAATGGTGTATAAACCCAACAACCGGTTGCTCAGCCCACAGGCACGTTTCGCGGTACCTCCCAGGACTTCCGTGTGGCATTCCCCAACGTGTGTGGCCTAATGAACAAACGTGACGAACTATGCCGCTTGAGTGTCACGGAGCATCCGGACGTCTTCAGACTTGCAGAGACTTGGGTAAACTCCGACGTCATACCCGAGGAAGTTGCCTTGTCAGGATACTGTTGTTTCCGATGCGATCGAAAATCAAAGGCTCACGGTGGTGTTCTGTTGTACATCAAAACGTCAGTATCTGGCAAACTTACCAGCACCTATCGGAGCAAGGATAACGTGTCCGAGCAATTGTGGTGCTCGAACCGCCTCAAACGTGCAGAAGTAATGGTGGATTATCTACCGTAGCCCATTAAACCGTTGCTGCAATTGGCTACCACATGTACAGAAGCACATGAGCTGCCCACAATTTCTACTGATGGGGGACCTAAATGTAGCTAGGATATTCTGGCCAGACGTTCAGCTTTGTCCCGGGCATGGCGACGTTAAGGCTCAATTCGCTAAAATGACTATTGAAATTGGGACAACGCAACATGTCGTCCAACCGATGCAAATAACTCCACATTCGGTATCTTGTTTGGGTCTAATGTTTACGAGCTGCAAGCAAAATCTGAAAGAGGTCAGAGTGCTCGAACTTCTAGCGAACAGTGGCCACTGATCCACTGTGGCAAGCATAGAACTACCAGTACCGGATTACAACTAACGGAAGCCGATATTAAACTATTGGAAGACGGACTCCAACGGGCTCGTCCAAACCGCTAGTCAGACTGAATGGACACTGCCATATGATACGTCGCTTGAGGCCTGTTGGTCATTGATGAAGAGGAAGCTTAGCTCACGGTGTACTCGGTTCGTTCCCCTGAAGTATTCAGAAGTCAGACCTGTCAAACCGCATTGGTTTGATAAGGAATATAAAGATTTAGCGCGACGGCGTCGCAAACTTTGGGATAGATATATTATCTCGCGTTGTGATGAAGATTACAAGGCGTGCAAGAAACAGCGTAACATATGTAACGCCGTAAAGATCACGAAACGCCGGCAGCTCGAAGAGCTAGCAGTCTAGGCCACCACCGCCGCAAGAGAATATTTGCCCACTTGAAACATCAACTGAAACCTGCGGGCGACCTACCGGTCTTAGAGAGCTTGGACGGACAGACGCTCATTTCAAGCGCGGAGCATGCAAACGCCTTGGTTTCGCACTTACTCACCGTATTTTCCAGTAAATCGGCGGCAGTTCTAGTACCGGCACAGGTTGCGCCAGTCTTGCCTGAGCCTGCAATGTGATGCAGACGAAGTGTATCAGCTACTCGTCAATCTCGATGGTACAAAGCCCCCTGACCAGACGGACTTCACTCACTAATACTTAAATTCATATCGAAAGTCATCTTACCAGACATGATAAACCTATTCAGTAAGTCACTCTCTGAAGGATTTGCCCCACAACGACTGGTGATGCTTGATAGTGAGACCAATTCCGAAGGGTGGTAATCCGAGTAAAGTAGAGAACTACAGACCGATCTGTTTTTCGATATTGTCCAAAGTTCTGGAGAAGGTTTTGATGAAGTGTCTGCTGTAGTTCTTCAAATCGATAGACGTATTGACGCCACCGCAACACGGCTTCACAAAAGCACGATGCTACATCACCAACTAGATGTATGCAAACCACCAACGAGTGTGAGCTCTCAACAAACGTGGTGTATATTGACCTCAGTAAGGTGTTTGACAGAGTGAACTACGAGGTATTCCTTTGTAAACTGAGGACCTACGGGGTCGGTGGCACGCTACTTCAGAGGTTACACGAGTTTATTGTTGGATGGAAGTGGAAAGTACAGATTAGTGACTACCTGATAAACTACTACTGGTAGTAGT